TTCATTTTTATACGTAGGTTAAATATATATATATATATATATATATATATATATATATATATATATATATATATATAGGGAGAGAGAGAGAGAGAGAGAGAGAGAGAAAGTGAAAGAGAGAGAGAGGGGGTCATAAAGATTGATTGAAGAGTAACTCACTATTTTATGCATGATGAACTCTCCTGTCCTGTAAAAAATTATAATTTGAAGTGAGATTCCATAGTATATAAAATAGGGAGTTACTTTTCAATCAGCACATATATACACTGACGGATATTCAAATTTCAATACCTTCAAGTAAGGTACAATAGTAAATACGCGAATAGTACAATGCTTTCTAAGCATATCTAACACTCCCTCAATAATAATGATCAACCAAATTAGCTTCGTTAGCCATTACCCTACACCGAGGCGCCAATTTAATTGTGTTGGCTGATTGATTTTGAGATATCTCAATTTTCTGCAGCGTCATTAATGTCGAAATTTGTATCGAGTACCCGACGAGGATCGAACCCTCATTCAATAATAATGGCAAACCATTACCCCACATCGAGACGCCTGTTATGGATTAAGTAGAGAATGTTTACGCTAAAATGCTATAGATATTAGGTTGGTGCAAAAATAATGACGTAATAATGTCGTTTTTTGACCTTAAAAATACGTCAAAAAACGACATTATTACGTCATTATTTTTGCACCAACCTAATACTTGGATAAAATTTTCAGACTTCATCCACGAAAGTTCGTTCACTTCATCGTGCTACATATTTTTTCTCCTGTATCTATCTTACATATCAAATAAATCTACCATTCGTCCATGCTTAGAATTGTTGCTGAATTGTTGTTATGGTACGGTGCTCCCTCTATATATCTAGAGATCCTAGATAAAATCCAAAGAAGAATCAGCAATATTACTGGTCTTGATCTGACATCTTGACTTCAGTCATTTTACCACTGCCGTGCAGTTGCCTTCTTGCGTCTTTTCTATAAATACTTTCATGGTAATTGTTCAGATGAGCTCTTCACCATCGTACCTAGATTTTATGAATCCCAGCTCTGTACTAGACTGGTAACGAGGTTTCACCAACTTATTGTTGGCTAGATGGAAACGTAAGTTCTATGCTAAGAGTTTCTTTTCTCGCACCTCTGGCCTGTGGAACTGTCTTCCGGCTCCATGCTTTCCAGCCAACTTTGACCTTCAAAAATTTAAATGCAGTGTCAATCGCTTTCTAATGTCCTCCTGATTACTCATCTTTTGTTCTCGCTCCTTAGTAAAGTTTCTGTTTTTTAATTCTTTTCACAGCCGGTGGAATAATGAATAGTGGCTTGGATTGAGGAATCGGAGAGCCGAGTTCGAATTCCAGTCGGATCCATTACATTCACTTATGTGCTAACCTTGGGAAAGGTATAAATCATCTTCTTCCCTCCCCAGCTATGGGTAAATAGCAGGACAGCCTGGGTTCTATAGCCTTGGAGAAAGTAACACTGAATTCAAAACTGTATATAGCCCTGGCGTAGCACATACTATGTAGCTAAAGAAAGAATCGTTCGTATTGGCCCGATGATCGGGTCGACAAATGATGATGATGATGATGAAACCCTTGTGTCTTAGTGGCTTTACTTCCTTGCTTGGGATGAAATCGATTTAAAAAAAATCTTGTTACATCATAAAACTTACTGTTTCACACTGTATACATATAAGCTTTGGGTGAGGTAGCATGCTGCGATGACACGTCAATAACAGCCGTTGAAATGTTTTCAGATTGTACGCCATTTCTTCACGCGTGTTGAGTGTTAATCTTCGAAGGTTCTTCTGTTGGCAACAGTGACTCAATAAACATTGCTACAACTCTAGACTAGATTCTGTACGGCTATGTAGTACGGACAGTCTCCAAGATTAATGCCATTTAAGAGCAGCATTAGCAAACCGTTCAGTATATTCATTACAAATCAGAGTCAGTAGTATCCAGGAGTGTCTGCATGGAACAGTGAGAATCGATGTTTCTGGTGACAGGTGTAAATAATTACAGTTACACGTGGCTTTGATTTGTTCAGGTTGTTTGTTGGTTGATTTATTGTGCTTTTTTTTATTACCAGAATTGTTTTTGCAACACGCTGACGCGTGTTAAAAATCCTTACAGAGGAATTGTTGAAATTATCGCTGATATTTTTTGTTGAGATTTACAAACACTACGTTTCGTTCAATTTCACAAACCAATCGAAAAACTTTGAATACGCTGATTCAGTTGGAAAAATACTACATGGTTTAATTTCTATAACCTAATTTATTTTATAGGACTTCATGGTAAACAATATTTTTTTAAGAAAATTTAATTTTTTTCCCTTTTAACAGTGAAGAATAAATTATGATTTCTTACTCTTCAGCATGCAAAATACAACTAGCTATGCATAAATATTTCTTTCTGGAGACGAATTCCAACTTTTGGAAGTGTTTGGCCTTCCTATAGTCTCCATTTTTATTCATAACACTCGCTTCATT